GGTTGACAATGGCCCTAGAAACCTCGGAATGTGAGGTTAAATGACCCTCATCAGTGGTAATTTCTTTGATGCAGTTCTTGTTGCATCTTTGCCTAATCTTAGCAAAAAGAAATCCTAAGTCATCTTCACCATGAAGAAGCCAAGAGGCTTTAGCTCTTTGAGTGATCCAAGAGGACCAGTGTGTTTGTAAAGCAGCAAGGTCATCATTAATGCTTTTAAGGTTGCTGTTGAGGTTGATATCCAAAGGCTGGTTTTGGAGCTCAATCAAACAGGAGTGTTGTTTAGCTTTAAGATCCATGATAGAGCAGGAAAGAAAGTTAGAAGAGGCCCAATTCCTCTTCTTAAGAGATCTTTTGAGGCATTGCAGGCTGTGAGAGAACGCAGCCAAAGGACTTCGGGAAGAATTGGCAGAAAAAGCAGAGAACACATCATCCCAGAAACCTTCCATATTAGTCCAATAATTTTTGAATTTGAACCTAGCAGCAATAGGTTTGTCATGAGAAGCAATGAAAATTATAGGGGAGTGGTCCGAACCAGTAGGAGGCACAACTCTGTAGTAAGCCAAGGGCAGATAATCCAGAAGAGCAGAATTAACTAGAATTCTATCAAGTTTTATGTGAATCGGAGAGTCCACCCTTTGATTGTACCATGTGTAAAACAGCTCAGTAGAGGATAAGTCTTGAACGCCACATTTAAAAACCATATTATTAAGCTCTCCTAACCTACTGTCCGTAAGAAGAGAGCCACCAGCCTTTTCAGTTTCAAACCTACAGCAGTTAAAGTCTCCCAGAATGACCCACGGCTGATTCGGAGGAGGGATAGAATTCTCCAGATTGGTCCATAAACTTCTACGCTCCGCCACACTGTTACAGGCATAAACAACAGAAAGAAATATAGGGGGAAATGAACCCGCAGAGAGGACACCGTGAATTAATTGAGAAGTGGTAAGGATGGGATGAAAATTGAAGACACTGGAATCCCACTTAAGCCAGATTCTGCCAGGAGTGGATTCCTTGAAGTTATTGTAACTACCTTCACTGTCAAACAGAGAGTGAGAATGCAAAAACCAGGGGTCCTCGACGGAGGACAGAGAGATTTTGGCTTCCAGAACACAGAGGAATTTAAGATTTTGAGATTGGATGAGAGACTTGCAAAACCGCACCTTGTCCGGGTTGTTGAAGCCACGGACGTTCCAGCTTGCGATATTAGGCAGGGACATTAAAACTTCGTGGCTTTGGCCTTCTTGGCCGATTTTCCTTTAGGAGGTTTGGGTTTGGCGGGAGATTTTGCTTTGTCAGGTATGGATTTCTTTTCAGAGGATTTAGAAGCAGAGTCTGTGGAGTCTGGAGGGTCTTCTTCCTGGGTGGGAATAGACGAGGAATCATTTTCCGACAGAGAGTCAACAGCATGAGAAGATTCGCCTTCGCCAGTTTGGAGGGAGGCAAACTTATTGACAAGAGGAATTTTTGGGATATTGAGAAGACAAAGAGAAGTGGGTTGGGCAGAAGAGGATGAGGTCTCGGTAGGAGAGTTAAGGTTAGGAATGGGTGGAAGCTTGTCAGCAGGAGGAACAACAACTATGGTGGAGGATGGAGGGACAATGGGGACAGACGGTAGGGTGGTGGGAGGGACCGCAGTGTTGGGGTGGGAAGTCCCAGCATCGGAGGGCTTAGGAGGAGGTTTAGTGGAAGGTGATCTGCGGGACTGGGATGTTCTGTGTCTGGAGGAGCTGCGACCACGAAATTTTGGTGGTTGAGGAGGAAGGATGTGTTGCGGGTTTGGATTGTTAGGGCAGAGAGAAAAAGGATGAATCAAAGAACCGCAACCTTCACAGCGGTCCGGCTTCCAATCGTAAATAACAGAAAGAACCATGTCTTCACCATCAATTTCAATAGGGATTTCTTCGTGTAAAACAGAGTCCTTAGAAATTAGGACACATACCCGCGGGCAAACGTTAACCTGGTACGGTTGGCAGTGAGAGCATCAACAGAGATCGGGATACCAATGTAGCTGGCGATGCGGGAGATACCCGTTGGCGTCCAGAGGGCTAAAGGAAAATCAACGATCTTGATCCAGAGAGGAATCGGAGCAGCCTCATCACGCTTCGGCTTGAATTTTGGGGACCAACGTTGTAGAATGAAAGGTTTCCCAAGGATGAACCAGGGGCCGCCCAACAGAATGGTTTCTAGGTCTTCCGAAGTGGAGAACTTTAGAAGAAAGAATCCATCCGCCATAGATAGCAAGGACATAGATCCCTTAAGGGGCCACAGCTTCTGCATGGCTTTTAGAAGGCGCTCATAGTACGGTCTAGGACCCAGAGAATACCCTATAAGGGCGTTGTTCCAGATAGTCTTCCCTTCAGAGAGATCATTCGCATGGAAAGAAAGCTTCTTTTGACCCGGTGAGTAGAAAGAAACCGGGAAGGAGTTAGGCTTGGCTGTGGGCGCTGAAACATTTTCAGCGTAGGAAAGGCCAGCAGAGGGAAGTCCAAGGACAGAGGTGTTAGGAAGAGGTGGGTAGCCTTGAGAAGGGGAAGCCATCTCAAGGGGGAGGGGGAGGATCCCTCCCAGGAGGGGAGGGATGGTCACAAAGCGGCGGGGAGAAAGCACTCTGCAAAGTGAAACCCTAGCAGAGCTCTTCGTTACAAAGATAATTTTAAACCGCAGCACGTTACCCCATGATCTCCTTCACGTAGAAACTGTCTCAATTCATATAAAACAAGAAAAATAATGAATGGGTAGTTTCATGCGAACGGATACTGACGGGCAGAAAGGCTTCGGCTCTGATTTTCGTCGGTATTCTCCCAAGCAAGAGAAGATTAACTGTTCATCCATCTGTGGCCGCCGCCAAAAATAAGGTCAATCGCAAGAAACAAGAAACACGAATCTACATCAACAAACAATCCACGATTAAATTCTTGCCTCCGATTGTTTCGAGCCTGACGTCCAGCCTCCGTTCGTTCAGCCCCGAGCAAGCCTCAAGCCAGCAAACATCCTCAGCTGTCATAATCTAAGGTTAAAATTTTTAGTTAAAATATGAATTATTTCAAATGTGTTTGATCAATTGTTAGGGAATAAATAGATGTCGGTTATGTGTGGAATCAGATTGCTTTGATCAATAAGATTATAATGTTGATTCAAACATTAGTTTTTTCAATCTACTTCGTTGGAGGAGTTATAGGGGCCCCCTGCTTTAGGTTATGGGGTCTTGCCCGGAAAGACTTTTTTCCCATGCAACAATGTTGGAGCGTGTATACTAAAGAGCTACAATGTTGCATCTGGTTGGAAACAATCAAGAAGATGTTATTTCCTCCTCCAAGAATCCTAATAATTAAGTGGTATCAAAGTCTCATTGAGACAATCTCGAGATAGAGGCAGTTGGCGGGGAAGACATGCGGAGCTATTCTTTGTGGACAACATGTATCTTTTTCTTATTTTATAAAATTTAGACCAAGGTGGA